GAGAGAGAGAGAGAGAGAGAGAGAGAGAGAGAGGGAGAGAGAGAGAGAGAGAGATGCATGCTGGGAAGGAAGGGAAGAAGGGGGGGCAACCACAAATCCAGGGCCTCCGCCTCCAGGCAGCCCTCCCCCCTGCCTGCCCACAGCCCTGAGCCTTCCTTCCCCCAAACCCCACACACATCTGTGAGCGGGGCTGCCCAGCTCCACCCCGCGCCCACCTCCTCGCCCACCCCCGGCAGGTACTGGACGTCGCTGAGCAACCTGGTGGCGTCGCTGCTGAACTCCATCCGCTCCATCGCCTCGCTGCTGCTGCTGCTCTTCCTCTTCATCGTCATCTTCGCGCTGCTGGGCATGCAGCTCTTCGGGGGCCGCTACGACTTCGAGGACACGGAGGTGCGGCGCAGCAACTTCGACAACTTCCCGCAGGCGCTCATCAGCGTCTTCCAGGTGGGCCGCCCATGCCGCTTCCTGTCCCTCCACCTGCGGGGCGGAGGGAGGGGGGACACCTCCTCCGGGAAGCCCTCCCAGATCCGTGGGTTGGGGTTCGAGGTCCCTCTGCAGGCTCCCTCGGCCGCTGCGCTGCTCTCGGGCGGCTTGTCTGTCTCCTCCACGCTCCGGGGCTGGGAGCCCTGCCCAGCTTGTGCCACGGGCCTGTCCCCGGTGCCCGGCACGTGCCAGCGCACGGCGGGATGGCAGTTTATGGATGAGTGGCGTCAGGGTGGGCTGGGCGTCCAGGCGCCTGGTCTCTCTCCCAGGTGCCTCTTGTATCTCTGAGCACAAAGCTGGGCAGGGTGAGCCGGTCCTCCCCAAGGCTGGTCTCCCCTGGGACGCACACACCATCTCTCGGGAGGCAGGGCTCAGCCAGGGGCGGGGGCCTGGGAGCCCCCTCCGAGGCCCCCTTGGAGGCCCCTCCATCGCACGTGCCCCCCCACCCCCTCCCACCCCAGGTCCTGACAGGGGAGGACTGGAACTCCGTGATGTACAACGGCATCATGGCCTACGGCGGGCCCTCGTACCCCGGGGTGCTCGTGTGCATCTACTTCATCATCCTCTTCGTCTGCGGCAACTGTATCCCCCCCACAACCCCCCCCAAGCAGGCGCAGGGACCGGCTCAGTAAGGGGCTGGGGAGAGAGCCAGGGGAGCCGGGGGAG